GATAGGTCTCCGGCCCGCCTTCGTGGCCGCGCCATTCGTGGCGAGCGATCGGATGATCGGAAGACCTACGTTTTTTTCCCCCCCCCCCCCTCCGATTGGGCCCACAAGGCCCAAATGTTTTGTTTTTGCCTACCCTTGCCCGGACCCCCGGACTTTGCGTTTGACGTCATTTTCCCGAATGGGACTACAGCTTGGAAATGTAGTGGTGGTGGTTTAAACCACCACTACCTCCTATCCTGTTTTTGCCGACCCTGAATTTTACTGCACACCGAGTTTTGCCGAGCCTGGGTCCCATTGTATTTTTTTTTTTCCGGGTACTCATGGTAGTTACATCCGAAAAAGAACAAGGAAACAAAAGAAGAAGAATAAGAAGAAGGAACAAAAAGAAACTTCCTTAATGCCGTGTTAGCCATCGGATATGTTCTATATGAGGTCCTAGTGAGACTGTGCCCTCAGTGAGGGCGTGTGTCCGCTGAAGAACAAACGACGAATAACAACAAAAAAACGCATCCCTTGTGCTGTGATCGTAATCTGGTATATGACTCTACAGTACTAGTGTGAGTATGACAGGAGTAAGGCAGTTAGTTGCCTCGTGTGGACTATGCTCCGCCTCGCTGGCAGGGCACCAAAACCAAACGACAAGAAGAAAAAGAAACAAAAACAACAGCAAAGTTTAGCAAACACGTTTCACACATAGTCAGTCGCCAGATACATTCCTCAAAGCACTGGTGTGACTTCCACCTCTGTGACGGCCCTCCCCGATGTAGGTGGATTCAAAGTTCGTTGTTTTTTTTGTCTTTTCCCCCCCTCAGTGTGGGCCCGTAGACTCCCAATTTTTTTTTTCGTTTTCTTGTGACTTCCACCTCTGTGATGGCCCTCTCCGATGTAGGTGGATTCGAAGTTCGTAGTTTTTTTGTTTTTTTTTTCCCCTCACTGTGGGCCCGTAGACTCCCAATTTTTTCTTTCTTTTTCTTCCCTACCGAGCCTCCTCGAGGCCTCCGAAAAATGCGGAGTGACCGCTGTGAGGCATAATCCCATTTTTCCCTACACTGAGAAAGGTAGTGGGTGGTTTAAGCGCGGATGCCATTTTTACAGGGTCGGCCCCGTGGTGTGCGAAGGAGCAGATTGCACAAACGGCAAAAAAAAAAACAAAAATGGATACGGTGGTCGGGGTGGTGGACAGGGGAGCACGAAACGGTGACCAAGAAGAAGAAGAAGAAGATGGGTGGTGGAGGATGGGGGGCAGGGGGGCATGGAACGTGTGCGAAGAAGAAGAAGAAGAAGAAGCTCTCAAACGTGGGCGAAGAAGAAGAAGAAGAAGAAGAAGAAGAAGAAGAAGAAGAAAGAAGCTCTCTCTCTCCCAGCGAACCCGCTTATGTTGGCGCTGGTGGGGGACCGCGATGGCTTCTGTTGGCGGGCGATGGCGGGAGTTGGTGGGATTCGTCGGACTTGCTGTCGCGGAATGGTGACGGGTGGAGCGATGTGTCGTGCGGGGGAGGGAAGGGGGGCGGGTAGGCCCGCCCTCATCCATTTCACATCGCGGCCCATCTGGGCTGTCGATCTTTGAGATTGACGGCCCAGATCGGTCCCGATTTGAAACCGGTGAAATCGGGCCTACCGGATCCCATTTTCCCCCCCCCGGCCTGGACGGCCTTCTTTGGGGGTGAAAAGCCCCCCTGCGCCGAAAACCATTGGAACACTGGGGTTGCCGGGTGGCCAACTGGGCAGGACAACAGGCCAGGCGGGCAGCCGCCCCCGCCCCCGGGGGGGCGACGACCAGGTTGCCGCCCGGCCTGGGGACCAGCCTAGCTATTTTTTTTAGCCATGACTCAGACGTACTTGTTCCTTTCACCTCTTACGCCAGATGTGGTGAACGTACCACTGCTGCTCCTTTGAGGTTCCGGAGGTCCTGGGCTATTACATTTTCTTTTCTATAGTTTCTTTTGTAACACAGAACAGCACAGCCTCGTAGCCATGGATCCTCCTATTCCGCAAACTCCAGTACCATACCATTAACTTGGCTATTTGTCTATCTTCACAATCGGTGATCTACCGTACCATTAACTTGGCTATTTGTCTATCTTCACAATCGGTGATCTGAGGATCTACTGTGTGGACGGCTTGCATTGTGTTTATTATGTTCGGCAGGTGCATCCCGTGTTGTTGTTTCAGCTGTGCTGCTGTGGTTTGAAGTGGATGAATATGGAATAGACCAGGTGCACTGAACTGAAAATTCTGCAAAGCTGGCGGTCTTTTGCCTGCTCTCATGTTTGTAGTTCCAAAGACGAAGAGGAGGAAGGAGAGGGAGAAAAAGAAGAGAAAGAAGAAGCATGGAAAGAAGAAACATGGTGTCACAGAAGTTTGTGTCGTTTGATGGATAAAATCTGGGTCTAACTTTGAGTCGCACATTGGTTCTAGTGATCGTCTGCAGTTGGGGAAGCTTCTTGAGATTCGGCACTTTCAGCCGGTAAGATACAGATGATAATGCCTTTGTGCTTTATTAATAATTATTATCCCTTGAACCTTGATTTTTGTATGTTCACCCAGTGTCTTGTATTCGCTAAATGAACTGCATAAGAAAGGGGGTGGCTGCGGCGGACGGTTTCATCAGACTTTGGATGACTGATGGACAAGGACTAATCCACCCTTGAGATCGTAGCAGATTTTGTCTAATCAGAGCCCTGATGGACATGGGCAGAATGTTTCATATCACTAGCGTGAAACCCACTCTACACTCCCACTCCCACTCAGGCAGGGACAACCAGTGTGTGTGTATGTTCTCATATCCAGGCATTCAGTTGCAAGGGATCATGTGGCCATGGTAGTCTGTCTAGTGACACATTATCTTCGTATGTGTGGCTGTGGGGGGTGACGTACATAACATTGTTTGAGGGGGTGTTGTTGTTATCCCTGCCTGTCTTGTACCTATTTTAAGAAATCGGATGCGTTTTCCGTTTATGTTTCAACAAAGGTTAGTTGTTGAGGTGCTTCTCAGTATTGCCGTTGCCATTAGAGAGAGATCCCTTATAAGAACTGTCATTGTGATGTTGATTTGCATAAGTACCCCTGTTCCTCTCTGTCTACGCATTGTATTTTGAACAATGAATGTGAAAGATATCTGGTTGTGGTGTCATAGAGTGTAGTACTGCACTGATAAAACGTCTCCCGATTTGCCGAGGTCTAGAGGCTGTCATCTGCACACTGTGCTTAGAGGGGGGGGAATGGATGTTTGGGCTCGTGCTGTCATCACTCATGTTAAGGCTGTACATTAGGTAAGTGTGACATCGTAGCTGGACTCCTAACGACGGGTTTGTGTGGTTTTCATTCTTCGTTCTGCTGAGACCTGGAATTACAAGTCTAGTTCTCGCTTCAAGAAGGAAGTTCATCGGATTTCTTTTGTTCGCGTGTGGTTTTCATTCTTCGTTCTGCTGAGACCTGGAATTACAAGTCTAGTTCTCGCTTCAAGAAGGAAGTTCATCGGATTTGTTTTTGTTCACGTGTGTTCCTTTGCCTTGCAGCATCCTTCTGTACCTGTTCTGCGAGGGGTTCGGCCGCTTCCCGGGAGATTTCCATGCTTTGGAAGGTGGGCCCCCTTTTCTACGTGTTGTGAAACTTGGATTCTGTTGCAAGTTTGTACATTGCATTCATTCTGACAGAAGGAAAAAAAAAACGACATTCTTAGCTCGATGACTCCTGTGCTGTTGTCGGCAGTTGCTTGTTGAAACTGTGATAGTTCATCTGTTTCTCCTGAGTGTTCTGGCGCTTCCCATGAGTTGTTCTTGATGATATTATCCGCCTGTCCATTAAGCGCGTGTACCCAGTACAACTGTAATCGCCTGAGACAATCTAGTGCAACGAATCGGTCACAGCGTTTGACGATGAATCATTCTTACTGTCACACATTCATTGCATCTGTCATAGAAGTACCTGCAGAGGTACTTTTCCTGTTTTCTCTGTTCCCAACTTCTCATCTGAGGACCGGATACTGTCACTACTACTCAGAAAAGGCAATGCAGATGGACAACGAAATGGCGTCTAGGCTGTACATGGAGAGTTTTCCTTGCAAGGCAAAGCTACAGTGGGGAACGGGAGGGAAGAGGGACAGGAGAAAGGGGTTGGAAGGGCGAGAGGGTGGACATACAACGGAGAGAGCCATGCAGAAAGCCTAGGGTAGGCAATGGGAGGAAATTGGGGGTCAGCCTTGCACGGTGGTAACCGAGCTACTAAGCTGTGCCACGACGGAGGATAAGCCAGAGGCGGAGCTAATAAGAAGGCGGAGAGAAGCTTTATTGCTATTTTTTTCTGGAATGTCGTAAGGGAGATGAACCAGAAAGAAGCATAGAAACTTTGGAAACAAATTGCTTCTGGATTTTGCAATGAAGTTGCGGTGGGTGCAGGTGTGGTGTGCATGTGGTATAGGAGATGTGAGGATTGCCAATTGTGGCCCTCCTGTCCGTAACAATGCGGTTCTCTACCCGGCAGCGCTTGTGGCTGGATGGTTCATGTATGTAGCTGTTGATAAACTAGATTGTGAGTTTGAATCCTGATGGGCGCAGTGAGATATTATTTAGAGACTGCAATTCTCTGTGAGAGTTACGTTGGGAATTCCTTGGAGGTGATGATCATACTTCCCTCTGAAGAGTCTGAACAAAGTCGACATTGGATTTTGAGCAGAAGCATTGGGACGAGACGGGCACAGATGTGAAGGGCTTGATCCGGATGTGTGGACGAGCAGGACACACCTTTCACATAAAAGAGGGACGCACACACATAGTCCGTTTTCTCACACCACTTGAGCAGTGATTGGCAGAAGGGTGATGCAGTTGCGTAATGTCGGCCAATATTGGATGATGTACCATTGTGAGAGTAAAACCAAATACATCTTTCACACATTTGGCTTGATTTACGAAGTTGTGTTTTGATGGCCAGTCATGCTGATGCCAGTCGTGCTACGTCAAGCACCTCGAACAAGTTTTCCTCCTGGTATTGTGCTCACACTGTAATGAATAGCTTGTTGATCTTGATATATTTTTGTATAGCTTGTTGATGTTGATATATTTTTGTGTGAATCATCTTTTCTTTTCGATCCTTCTTTTTGAGTTTCCCGGTCGTTTCCTTTTGTACTGTGTGCAATCTCTACGAGTAATTTTATTGCACGTTCATAGTAAGTCTGTTGAGTGCCATCTTTTACAAATCTTGCTAATTCGTCCTAATAGCAGAGTCGGCTCAGTGCAGCCTTAAGCAAGGGCTGGACCCACGGGGGTGCAGTGCTTGCGTTCCAGTCACTGCTGTCTTCCCACTTTTCTATCTCCTATCAGCTGTTTTTGCCGCATGTTCCTGATGATTCCTCCGTTGACGTATTTTACGTTTGCACGTGGTTGAAGCTGTCCTGGTATTGCACGTGATGTTGAATGTCTAGGGTTATGATTTCATGGGGATGGTCAGTGCAAGCGTAGATTAGTCTGGAGGAAATGGGGAAGTTTTTGTTTCTTTCTTCGCTCCCCTCTTTCGTGCGTAACAGTCAATCAGAGAATCCTCGCTCACACGAGGACTTTTTGGACTGACCTCTGGACGGAATTGCGGGCAGAGAGCCATGTCAAGGTGGACTTCCGGGCATGATACATCCAGGAAATTCCTGTTGTGAGTGTGTGCCCTCAGTCTGTTAAGCAGGACAAAGCTTGCTTTCCTGTGAAAGTCACTTGAGGTCTACAACAGGTGATCCACAGTGGTTTCGAATCCATTTGTGGTCTTCTTTTTCTTCGGAGCTGATGTTTGGTGTTCCATTTCTTACTTGTTTTCTAAACCAGTGTGGATTTCCCCTGTGCAGTGTGCACCCCAAAAAACGAACCAGTCCGAAAAACTAACCGGTCCGAAAAACGAACCAGTCCGAAAAAGGAACCAGTCCGAAAAAGGAACCAGTCCGAAAAAGGAACCAGTCCGAAAAAGGAACCAGTCTCGAAAAACGAACCGGTCCAAAAAACGAACCGGTCCAAATAACGAACCGGTCCAAAAAACGAACCAGTGTGGGTGCACTGTGCATCCGAAAATTGCTGCGGTATTCCAACCCCTTAGGCACTGTCCATCGTGTCTAGCAGTGCTGGAAGCCTTTGCACGTGAAAGGTACGGGTGGTTTGAGGTCTCTAGCAGTTTGGAGGTCTGGGCTTGTCTGGATCGTCACATGGTTCCCAAAAATGGCAGAAAGCATTTTGGGGATGCGTCTGGTACCCGAGCCACCATCCCAGGTGGCCCCTTGTTTTCAGCATTTTCAAATGGAGGGGCCCCACGCATCCCTTCTGGGCCGGACCACGTATCCCAACATCTGGATCCAAGCAGTCCGGATTGGGACCTGATGGTATCCAGAAGAGGAAGCGATTGAGCCTGGAAAAGGGGCCAGAGTGAAAGGGAAGCTGATGAGAGGCTGTGAGGAGAAATAAAGCTATGGATGTCAAGAAGAAGTAAGGTCAGCAATGGTGATTGAGCAAGGCAGGCTGTGTTGGTGGGGGAGGAGGAGGGCAAAATGGGAAATGGAAAGGTAGAGAGGAGGAGGGAAGCGCGTTGAATGTCGGCTTGTCTGATGCAGGGCTGATCTTGCCGCCGATTGTGCCTGATATGGTCTGTATCTGCGTACGTTTTTGGTTTTGGTGGCCATGTCTGGCAGACGGGAGAGTTCTGCGCATGGACACAGGGACATGTATGGCGATTAGTCCAAGTCGCCTGTGAAGCAAGCACTCCTGATATGGCACTCTTGGCCCCCAGTCACTCTATGGTGTGATCTGTGCCCCTGTAGATTATCAGTGTTTGACAGCTTACGGTTTCTCACAAATGAAGGCTACTGTGCTTGCACTGTTCTTGTCTCAGCCCAAACGGGGTGGGAGTTACGGATAGATGGGTGATGGGTGCCTTTTCCCTCGAACTCCATTGCGCCTGTTGTTTTCCATCAGCAGAAGATGCTCGATATTGGAACAAGAGGTGTGGTATTGAATTTTGGCTAACGCTGGTAGCCTGCTGGTTTCTCTTTCTGCTCTGGATGTGTCTTCAGACCTGAAGAGCTAGGACCTCCCCTCGAAGATGTCATTGCTGCAGCGGCAGAGCTGGGGTATGGTCACAGAACGGATGACTGTTGTGACGTTGACCTGCCAACGCCATCGTTATGGACAGAAGGCACGTTTCTGGGGAATCTGCAGGCGCGATGGCATCATCAGGAGCCAGTCAGGCGAAGCTCGGGTGCAAGGATGGCGTTGTTGGCGTCCATGGAGTCCCCTCATGGGTCACGTAGTTCTTCAATTGCATCGTCTTCGCCTCCTTCCACGCCTCCGCGCACACCGTGCGGCACAATGGCCAGTACACTCAATGTGCGGTTCTGCCACTCTTGTCCTTTGTTTTACCCGTTGAGGTCAACTTCTTTGTATGAACTCTTCAAACTCCTGATCCTTTTGGGTGATTTCTTTCGGGGACTAGTTCTCTACTGCGTGCTGGCACTCTGGATGCCTTACGCAGAGGGAGAGTGTGTCGCCAACAGCCTGCTTTCGTAACACAGGCGTCAGATAATGAAGTGGTTGAGGGTGGGCAGACAATCCTAAACGTACACTGGCCGAGGAGACTCAAGAAGATACGAATGTGTCAAGCCAGTGGGACGGTGATGCCTTGCAGTGTGAGATCGACTTGGACAGTTGAAGTAAATGGGAAAGTGGTGAATAGGGTTAGTTGCACTGGAAGCCATGACTAACCATATGTTGTTCAGGAGCATGTAAGGAAGTTTCTGATGTGGGTAGGGTGGAGAGCTGCTGACATTTTTGTTGCAGTTGAGTTGATCTCTTCTCTACTAGCCCCTTAAAACGCAAGACCTGTTCCTACTTTTGTATGTTTTCCCTGCCTGGAGGAGCTGCAGGTGTGTTGCCAAGGTGTTTACCACCCATCGCTGGTCAGGGAAAACACCAAGTGGTGAATAATAGGGTTGTTTTGCTTGGCCGTTTGGGATGTGTGGGAGGTGTGGTACTGCCGTCCTCGGTGACGTCCAGTAAGATTGCAACGGCCAAGTAGTGAATAGGATCGTTTTGCTTGGTCGTTTGGGATGTGTGGGATGCTGTCCTCGGTGACGTGCATTCAGATTTTGCTTCGATACAAGATGATATGAAAACTTCGCACTGTTCTGTGTCCATGGATTGCTTTGTGTGTGGATGTTGCGCTTGCATGTGTGTGATCTGTTTGGATTTGCAAGGCTGCTGGACAAGCATGACAAGACTACTTCAGAAAATAGGGTCCAAACTAAAAAGAACATGAAATCCGCAGTAGTCCACCACTGATTGCTTTGGGCATAGGTTTTCCCTGTTGCTTGTGCGTGGTCTATCTGCATGCGCATGGTACATGAACAAGCATGGAACACACAAATCAAGAAATGTTACATGTGGTGTAGGTTTTGAAAATGGTACAAATGGTACGAGTATAGGACTGGTATGAAACATGCAAATGGTGGGTACAAACGGTACAAAGTTAGGGGAGAAAAAAAATAAATAGGGGGCCGAAAAATCTCTTTCAAAAAAAAAAAAAAGAAACTTAGAAAGGAAAAAAAGCTTAAAAAAAGATGATAGGGTAGAGGATACCGTACATAGTGATCGCAGAGGCCGGTAGCGAGCCCAGGGAGAGCAGAGTACTATCATTGTTGCCTGTATTGATTGTTGAGAGACGCGAAGGGGACTGTTCTTCGTCAATACTGTCATTTTTGGGTATATTCATTGCTGAGAGATGCAAAGGGGGCTGTTCTTCATCAATCAAGACACTACGATATTGTTCAGGAGAAAAAAGCAAAAAAAAAGAACGTCCAAACACTTCAAATAAAGAAAAAACTTCAAAAAAGAAGAAAAGAAAACAAGAAAAATCTCTGCTGATGGTAATAGTTGGTGGCACTGTGACAGAGAGGGAGAAAAACGGATAAGCTGATGCTAACATTTTACTCCACTGCTTGCCCGACGCCTGTGACCCAGGACCTGAGCCCTGTTCTCGTTGGCGCAAAGCGAATGCATGTCCCCTGCCCAGAGGAAAGACAGGTGCCTTATCGAGGTGTCAATGGGAACGACTCTCCCGTGGAGGATGTAGTTTCGGTAAGCAGATGTCGGTCTTCCCTTCGGTGTCTCGCCCCCTCTATGTCGAGGAACGCCTTTGTTTTTTTCCCTCTACTATTCTCCTCCCCCCCTCCCCCCTTAACTGTTCTTGCTTCTCCATCTGGACATGCTTTGGATGTATGATGGAGATGAGAAAAGAAGATCGAAGGAAAATAGTTTAAAAGATCTCTCTGTGGTCAACTGATCAACTGTTCTCTCTGAGGAAACTGGAAACCGTATGCACGTGATTCGGAGATGTCAGTAGATTCACTACAAGTGGGATATGTACGAGCGACACCATCCACCCGTCAGAAAAGCGGTGGTGGACAGATCTGGAATAGCACCACTAGGTAGTAGCGACTGGAGGACGACATGGAAGGCTTTTTCGCAGAACTATTGAGAAGCTCCATTGGCTGGCGCAGCTTTAGCCTTTTGTAGTGATGACTCGGCCTGACCTCCCTCAGGTTTCCTTGTCTGTTGGGTGAGATATTTCAACGACACCGTTTTGCTTCTGCCGCAACCTCGTTTGGGCCTGCTACTTGGGGTTAGCGTTGTAGGGGATAGCCCTGGAGTGCATATTCCAGTGCCCTAAAAGTTTGTTACTCTGCGCTAGGCCTGCAGTGGTTTCCCGTAGGGATCCTCTTTCCTATTGAGAGTTGTCATTGTATAGAGATTGATTCGCACCATCTAACCACTTGTTCAGTCGGAATCGGACCTTGTCCACCCAGCTAGCATCTACCCTCTTCAAGGTGTAGTAGTAGTAGAGGTAATCCTTGTAATTGAAAAGGTCACAGCTTCTCACAAGTATCGTGCTGCGGTCGGGAATGCACCGGAACAATTCAAGGCTGTTGCATATGGTTGATAAAAGTATCCGTACGTGGATGTGAACACGGACAGGCGGATAACCTTACCCTGGATGTGCAAAAACCCAAAATGTAATTTACTCCCAGATATGTTGAGGAGGCATAGTTGGCCACATGCACAATGACAGGGAAGATCTTGCAGAGTGTGCTTATTTAGAGTGCCGTTCCGATGTTCACGCACCTGAATTCCAAATAAATGTCAAGAGAGTGGACACTGCTTCTGGATTTTTCAGCACAGCTCAGACGGTGGTACAAGGATGGGAATCAGAGTTGGCTTCATATTTCATACCTGTATTGGTTGTCCCCAGTGCATGCAGAAAGGACCATTCACATTGTGCAGTCAGAAAGGTCCATTCACAGTATGGACACTTGACGCATCCCGGCCCATTGGCCGTGTGGTTCCATATGCGATGAATGGTTATTTCGGAGGGGAATGAGAGTTGGTTTCATACCTGTCTTGGTCCTCTTGGTTGGCCTAAACCTGTGTGATGACACTCTGCTGAGTCCTCCAGTCTGTGGGCCGGGTCTGATCGTCTTGTCGAAACCTGTGTGATGAGTTATCCGGTCTGCGCGACGAGTCTGCGTAATGGAAGCGTGATGAGTCGGTGTGATGAGAATGTCTCTGGAATCAGTTCGATTGTTGCAATGAGATGTGAGCACGTCGATGTGTATGCAATGGCATTATAGTTAAGTATATGAACGATGTGGTTTCAGTCAGTTCGATTGTAGAAGGGTCTTTGAGATGTGAGCGCGTCCAAGTGGATGCAACGGCGTAATAACTAAGTATCTGAACGATACGAGTTTGTACCAACGGGGACGACAGAAAGCAGGAGGAGGGAACTGAGGGAACTTGTGGCGGCATTCAACGGAACGTCTGACCCTTGCAAGCATAGCGTGCGCAGCTGAACGCGCAGCTTACACGATTGTTACACGATTGTTCGAGCAAGGACGAGGATAACATTCCTGTCTATCATATGTTGAGAACATGTTCTTTGTGATGTTTGGACCTAGGAACACAGACGCACGGTGTACTGACGTAGAGCTTACCTCAAACAGACCTCGGCAGGTTCTCCATCAGATACTGCTTGGAACGTCCTGCTCTGAGTCTGCCCTTAGGCACGGTTCTGGTTTCACGCCTATGCATTTACTTTCGCGATTCTCTGCCACAGTGCCTAGGATGCACAAAAGGAGTGAGCAACTGGCTGGGCTTTGTCGTAGCAGTGCTTTTTTTTTTTTTTTTATAATGTGGCCCGATTGACCATGGATCAGATATGAAACTGAAAAGAATAGATGCAACACTTGATCGTAACCAAAAGGCCGAGAAAGGTATTGTCTTTGTGGTGCTCTTTCCTGCAAAGTCAGAAAACATGCTTCATAATGCATGCCCGTCTTCATTTCATTCTCTTTTTTCTTTTAAAGTAATGCGTGATTCCTGCATCGTTTACTTTTGGCGCGGAGTATTTGACATTGACGTTTGTTTCTCCTATGGATTTGCACCTTCATGCTTGGGATTTGCCTCCAGAATACATGCCCAGCGGACGACAGTGAACGTGATGATCTCATCACGGTTGCGGATATCTGCATAGAGGAAGACTGTCGAAAGGAGTTTGCGTGTGGTTCTCCCCTGCAGTCGCGACCTGAATCTGTTCTGGACTGCCATGAAGGTGGTCGTTACCTTTCGACCTATGGGACGAGCACTAGTGAGGAGTTGCAGAGACAAAAGCCTCGTAGCAGTGCAAAGGTGTCTCCTGGTCTCATGAGAGTGAGTACCGATAGTCCAGCGTTTAGTCCATTCAAGGATGCAGAGTCTCTTCCAAAATCTCAGCTCGGGTCTTCAAAGGTCAGGGACAGACGGCGTGTTGCTAGCTTTGGTGGCGATGAATTGGTGGATACCCAGTGGCTGCAGAAGACCACTGACAGTCGTGGATTGTTTCGCTCCTGTACCCCGGTATGTTTGCTTTCCCTTGAATGCGGCCCTGCATGCCCTCCAGTTACCTGCTGATGTTCCATGTCCTTTTTTTTTTCTTTGAAAAAAAAAAAAAAACAGTTCCTTATGGTCCTGGCTCCATATCCATTCTGGGGAGCGTAAGTCCGATTCCTTTCCACCGACAATTTCAAAAATTGAGGTACATGGTGAACACTCTCACGCTTCCTTCCGTCTGGCCGAAGGAACCCTGACCAGCATTGATTGCTCCATATCTGGAGGATTGACTGTCAGCTTGCCCTGCCACTTTTCCTCTCAGAATCTATTGTGACTCTCTCGGCTGATTCGTATAATGCAAGAAAAAAGGCGAGTTGTCTGTATTGTTGGGATGGAAATCTCAGTTTGCCCATCACTGGTTCACCGTCCTTGTCGGAGGTGTGCTGTGCCATTTCTTCCAAATCAATCTGTTATCTGTCACAATTGCAATCTTTCCCTGTAGAAGCCAGTTTCTCATGAAGACCCGTCTCTTGATGGCCATCCTTTCTGGTCTGCTTTTCGTTGCTGACGTCGCCTCCCTCCATCTGGCTCGAATCTCAGTCTCGGCCATTCCCAGCAGTAGTACCCACATTTCTTCTCTGGCCGCCTCAGTTGCTTCGATCGTCTTGATACATCTCCTTTTCCAGATTACCCATAGATCCTGCTTCCTGAGCAGGTGAAACCATACCTCCTTGCCACCTTTGAGAGTGTTGGAAAGGAGCAGGATGTCCAGGGGAGTTGCGGGTGGAGGGGGTGATGAGAAGAGGAGGGACCATAGGTCGTGCACCTTGTTCCATATCCATGCTGCTTCCGTACAGTATAGTAGGCAGTGGGGTACATCTTCCGGGATGCCGTCTGTGCATAGCCTGCAAAGCTCAGAGCTGTCAGGGTCCGTATATTTCCTCCTCTTGTGGAGCCATTGATTGACCGGCAGCGATGCGTGTGCTAAGAGCCACTGCATGCTTCAAATCCTAACCGGTCTGATGGACAGGTACTTCGTCCAAGGGATGGCAATGGGGTCTGGGGGTTCCAGATTCAGGATCTCCCTCCACTTTCCATTGAGTCTGGGGTCCGGATCTGTGGTTTGCAGACCCAGCTCATAACCGAATTTGACGTCGTAGTCAAATATCGTTCTCGTTCTCCGGGATTTGCCCTTCTTCCAAACCCATTCTTTCAGGTCGGAATTCGAGGTCTGACATGCTGAGGTCCGGTTGGAAGATTTTCCAGGGTTTGGACTTTGAAACCCTCACTTTTCTCAGCTGGAAGGTTTCTAGTGTGTCGCACTGGGGATCTTTCTTCTGGATTTCCAGCTCTTGCAGGCTGTGATTAGCTATGGGGTACGAGTAGAATTTAGATAGGTAGCAGAGTGGGTTGGTTCGAGAGACGAATCGATATGCTCTAGTAGGGCGGGTTTGGGAGACGAGTATGCACCGGTCCTCGGATTTGCATGAGAAGGCCTCCCTTAGGAGGGAGAGCCATTGTACTGGTATACTCTTCTGGATCAACGTTAGGTTTTCAGCGAGGGAGTGACATTCTTTTAGGACATTTTGTAGCTCCTGTTCGGTAGCCCATCGTCCTTGGTCCTCTGCCCAGATGTGTTTCACCTGCCATATGCCTTTTTCGACCCAGGATAGCCATCTTCGGTCTTTTGTGGGTAGTGCCCATGTCCCTCCGCCAGGGTCGGTGATCAAAGGGTTGCAGAAGAGAGGTTGTCTCAGGACCTCTACTCTGTTTTCAGGTGAACCATGGTTACTTGGCATCATTTTACGCCAGGCTGTGATGGTAGGACTCCAGTATGAGATGGCTGTTTGAGTGGGGGTTGTCATGAACTCTGTAGGGTTTATCCTGCGAGGTCTGCCTGATTTGATTGCCCAGTCCTTCACCTTGAGCCAGTAGAACCCTCTCATGTTTGGGGGGGAGTTTATGGGCGCCAGGTTTCTGATGCTGTCTAGAGCCATCTGGGTCCAGGGGAGGGATTGTCTGATCAGGATCTTGATAATCCATTTCATCTGCAGTGCTATGGACTCCTGTTTGGGGTCGATTAACCCAAGCCCCCCTTCCTGTGGTTTCCGCGTAATGTGGTTCCAGGCTACCATGTTGATACACGTGGTCCTGTTGGGATCTCCTGTCCACAGGTAGCATCTCACCCTGTTTTTTAACGTTTTGATGTCGTCACCGGGGGAGACCAGATGGATGCCATGTACCTCAGTGTGGAGAAGATTGCCGCGTTAATTAAAAGGGCTCGTCTGATTAGTGAGGCCTGAGCGTTTTTGCATCGGGCCAAGCGGGTGATTGCCCTGGCAATTAAGTCCTGGACTCCTGGCCCATTTCTGGCCATACTCCTTCCTTGTTGACCATGATGCCCAGGAAGCGTAATGCTTGCTCTCCCGTCGTCCATGACATGGGTGTGGCGGTGTCGGATGGTTGGGGAGGGGTACCGTCTGCTAGCCACCAGCCTTCAGTTTTGCCCCAGTTGACCTTCATTTCTGATGCCCGTCTGAAGGCTTCCATTGCTCTTACTAGGGCTTGGGTGCGAATGAGGACAGTGAGGTCGTCAGCGAACATAAGTGCAGTGGGTAGGGCGAAGTCGTGTAACGGGTTGAAATTGTGTTCAGTGAGGTGGTCGATGGATGGGTCTTTTCGAAGGAAGGAATCTATGGCTTCCATAATGAAGAGGAATATGGGCGGAGCCAATGGGTCGCCTTGTCTGACCGATCTAGATATCGGGTAGGTGTCTGATAGGATCCTGTTGACCTGGACCCTGCCTGTGGCGTCTGAGTAAAGGACTTTCACCCAATTTTTGAAGTTTGGGCCAACCCCCGTTTTCTCCATGCAAGCGTGGAGAAACTCCCAATTGGCTTGGCCGTAGGCCTTTTTGAAGTCGAAAAACAAGATTGCAGCCTTCATTCATTTTCCATGATCTTTTTTGCTGCCTCGTTCAGCGTCATCACGTTGTCCAGTATGTACGGGCCCGGGATGAAGCCTGCTTTGTCGATGTGAAAGCATTTGTTCGTTAGTTTTGTGATTCTGTTCGCAAGAGCCTTAGCGAGGGTTTTGGAGGGTGTGGTGAGTAGTGAAATTGGTCTGTAGTTCTTTAGATCTTCTTTGTCTCCTCCCTTCTTATAAAGCAATGAAACCACACTGGTGCTCAGATCATTGCCTGGGCCTCCTTTTTTAGCATGCTGTTGCTGAACAAGTCGAGTAGGTCTTTTCCTAGGATCGGCGAGAAGCAGCTCCAAAATGCTTTAGAGTGGCCATCGATGCCCAGGGCTTTGTCATTTCCCATCTGGTTCAGGGTTATGTGTATCTCGGCTAGGGTTAGGGGATTGTCCAAGCCTTCCGCTTGGGTTGTCGAGATCGTCTTGTCAAGGTAAGATAGCATAAGGTTGCGGGCTGCTAAGTTCGCTGTGGTCGGGGGTGAGGGTGTCTTCGATTCGTATAGATGCGCATAGAATGCCCTGGCTATCCTTTTATTTTTTCATCTCTTTTGGTTTCAGCTTTAGATGGACAGTAGTGGGGCATGAGAAAGCTACTTGCAACTTGTTCTTTCTCAGACGAAAGTAGTATAAACTACTATAAAGTAGTATAAACAATGATTGTGGGCTCTGGTGCAAGGTCTACCTTCTTCGCCCGAATACAGCGTACGGTCATTATAACTGTATTTAGACTGAAAGATATCCCAAATTTCACCTATGATGACCGTACGTTGTATTCGGGAAAGACTGTAGTGTCCAGCGAGACGACATGCCTCGATGAAGTAGTTCATGTCTATCCATGTAAATTCTTGACTTGCCGGTGGAATAGGAACCGGGCTGACGCTCCCCAGAATAGGAGGAGCTGGGCCAAGCTGTTTCTTTTTTCTCCAAAAAAAAAAAACAAGCATGTGGAGCATGGTTGCCAACCGGACGTCGGGATCCCGATCCGGACAGTCGGGTCCGGATGTCTGGGCTGGGTGTCGGAAAAAAAGATTTATGTTTTTCGAATCCAGAAACCAGTACTGCTATTCCGGGCCTCCAGCTCTTTCTGCTTAATGAAATGTGAAGTTGGTTTGTAAAAAAAAAAAAAAAAAAAAAGTGGCTACACATACCAATGTATTGGCAGATCTCTATGCTTTGATAGGAACTGGGCCCTGCACCTTTCCCTTGCGGCCAGGTACTTTTTTTCTGGTATGTCTTTGCCACTAGCACATTTCATATATCGGTCTCTTGGCCACTTTTCTTGCAGCACCACTGTCCCTCCAGACTGGCATACACCTCAGCCTGATGTTGGGTGTATATTATATACTGGTAAATGGTTAGACTGAAAATTAGACATGCATCCAAACCTCTGGATGGGAATTCAACATTGACTTTGCCGATATTATTCACAAGGCATCCGCTGTCCATATGTGTGTGTGCTCGTGTGTATGTGTGCCCATGTGTGCCCGTGTGTATGTGTGCCCATGTGTGTATATGTGTATGTGTGTGTGTGTGTGTGTGTGTGTGTGTGCGTGTGTGGGTGTGTGTGCGTGTGTGGGTGTGGGTGTGTGTGCGTGTGTGCCCGTGTGTGTATGTGCGTCCATTTGTGTGTGTGTGTGTTTCAAAAAGCCCCGAACTCTCTCTTTCATTGCGTGTGTGTGTATGTCTCTGTTATGTTTGTGTGTGCTCATTTCTTACCTTCCGTCTTCTTCTGCGTTTCCCATTGCTTGTTACGGAAGAGCAATCTCGGAGAGGAATATCCCTGTAGTGTTTGCTGCTGACAGTCCATCTTGGCTCTCTGAGCTTGTTGTGTGTGAGGGGAGACGTAGTGTGTTGCATCTTTGCTGACGGGCCCCGTATGTAAACGTGTAATTTTTCCAGGTCCACAACAGGAGGAGGATGAGCGACGGTGATTTCCGGGTGTCAAAGCTGAAGATAGATGAAGTGGCAAGCTTGCCCATCAGAACGTCTCTTGAACTTGGAAATCTCAAGAAGAGTCAATCCTTCGGTCAGAGCAGGCCTTTGTCGCCCTTGTCTACTGCGAGCATGACCAATTTAGGGAGCAGGCAAACAGGGGCAGTGACTCCGAAAGGAATGGATGTGAACATTAGGTGGGAAAACCTGCCTCCGAATCTGGTTGCTTTAGGACAGGTCAGTCTATCCTCCAAGATGATTACTCTTCGTCCCCACTGATGCCGATTTCGTTGCTTTAATCAAGTTTAATGCAAATCACACCCGCATCTACGACTCCCAATCCCCGTTGAAAGTTCTCTTTGAGAGTGGAGTTGGTCAGTTTTACGATGAGGAATATGCAAACTGACCCGATAGTGAGTTGATTGACACGACTGTGTGGAAATGTACAAGTGGATCTCTGAAGCTATGTCGAGTGTTCAAAAGGGCTGGGAACAGGATGGGCTGAATAACGTCGACCACCATAGAAATCGCTTCGCTTGTGTTGTGTTAATTGACCCTGCTGGTTTCTGTCAGAACGATGGCTGGGACTGTTGTCCAATCACCGAGCCTAAAAAACAATCAGCATGGGCCAGGTCCTAGTGGTGCAATGTTCATGCTAGGCAAGCATGAACCTGGCTGTTATTGGGCCCAGGCTTGTACTTTGCAAGCATAAACATAGCACAAGTTGAACCATGCCCTACTTCTGACATGGGGCTTTTGTCTGTAGGTGGATTGCGGTGATGATCGGACGAGCAACTGCTTTATTTTCTGTCTGTGTGCGGTAGGGAGCAAATTACCCCTCGTTGCTGATGGAACCAGCATCTTGTCACTCATTGGATCGATGCTGAGCCATCTGATTGGGTCGATGATTGGAGTTTCCAAGGGAAGGATGCCGAGTTTCTTGACCCGGTCCTCTGCGCGCTTTCTCTTGTTATGGAGTTGGAACTGGAGTGTTCTTTTGGCGCGCAGCTGAAAACCGGGTTGGGCAAAAGGGGAGTGGCGTGACTGGTGGCTTAAAAACGTTGCGACTCAATGTCCCTTTTGATTAGCTAAAATTGTTGCGCTGCCTGGGTGTTGCACTCATAGGTGCTCTCGGTTCAATGCGTGCTGAGGTACCTTTGCCTAGAAAAGGTTGCATGCCTGGGTTACACTCATGTCTTAGGTTCCGTCCACTTGGAAATTAAACTATTGCCGCCACCTAGAACTCCAGCCCTTACGGGAAGAGCCCTGGCCTAACTCTCAAGGAAAAACTCTCGATAGCTTCTAAGTACCCGGGTCCGGCTTGTTCAATTCTCAAACCTGTCACAAAAGAAGAATGGTTGGGGGTGTCTGGAAGAGGAAATGCAGCCACAAGTGCAGCCACAAGTGGATGGTGGTCCTTTTACAGCGTTTGACTGTTCTGCAGGCCCTGTTACAGCCCTACCATGGGCAGGACTTTGATGGTGGAACGGTAGGTTGGGCAGCACACTTGCACCCCCAAGTTCCCTAACAGACTGCCTGAGCATTGTGAGCTGCCATACCAGTGAGACTTGTTCACCTTCTTCCGCCCCCTTGCTCTCTGTCTCATCCATGGACACATGTACATACATACATGTACATACATACATGTGTAATTTGATCGCACACAGTCCGTGCCCTTGTTTGAATTCTGAGGGAGGATAAGGACAGGTTTCGGGATGGGCATTTGGTCATTTTGCTTAAACAACACATGTGCCATTTAATCACACACGCATGCTTGTTGGCAAAGCACTGGCAGAGCCGTGCACCTGCGTGCGCCTGAAAGTGCGCATGTGCTTCCCAATCGATGGTCGGGAGGGCTTGTATCGTAGAAAGGCCATGCTAATCTTTGTCTTGCCTTAATCATTTCAGTTCTAGTGGGTGGATTGGCATACCTCAGAGCGTCTGAAGACTTGACATTAATTTAACTGCTCCTCCCATGAACAGGATGTTCTTCAGCGTCGGGATGAAGCAGTAGGTGCTGCCACAACAGCGTTGGAGGAAGCTGCGGCGGCCAACTCTGTACTTGATGCTTTAGGGTATGCATACTGCTTCCTTTTTTCTGTCTTTTACGTTTTTTTTTTTTTTGGGGGGGGGGGGGGGGGGGGGGGCAGGGGGTGGTTGCGGGGAGCTTGGGCAAGTTTGCAGCTTCTTTGCTTGAATACCATGGAGGCCGGGGAACCTCCACAGAAACCCGGAGTACTGGGGCCGCTAGCCATCTTTGCCTTGTGCTGCAAAACCGGCTCCGGTATCCCATGATGCCTACGCATGCCTTCCAGAAGCAAAAATGAATTGAATGAGAAAAGACAGCAAAAGAAAGAGACCTATCCATGATCTGGGACTCTGGGACAGCCTCAGTAGTTCAACCACGGGCCCAAAGACGCTTCTGCTCAAGTATCAGACTCGGAACCTTCGAACCTGAGCACGGACCCTTCAGGAGGAGCAGATCTCCCGAAGGGGTGACTCTCCAGGCGATCTGTCGGCCTGGGCAGGTTGCCAGAAAACCGTTGCTACCAGGAATCAAAGCTGAGCACGGACCCTTCGGGAGGAGCAGATCTCCCAGGGAGTCACCGCCCCTCTCGTTCATCTCTCGGACCCTCAACAAAGCGGAATTGGGCATTCCCGTCAAAGACTCGGCGGCGAGTGTGGTAATGACCGTTAATGCATTTTGGAAATTTGGAATAGTTTTAGCTTTGCGCTAAAACGGTTTGAAAATTTTAAATTTTAAATTTTAAAAATATATGGCGGATTTAGCTGCGTTAGCGTTGACGAATCCTATTTTAGGAGGCTCTTCTGTTCTGGCTCCTCCTGTCGAGGGCCGGGCCGGCACCTTGTCTCCGGTATCCCCTGTCATCCTGGGTCTAGTCTCTCCCGGCATGTACCATTCTCACCTTCCTTGAAGGTTCAATCTGTCGTGAGGCTCATGCCGCCATTGCGTCATACGCTTTGCATCATGTTGGCCTGGAGGTGTGTCTCGTTGGCTGCTTGCCTCGTGCCCGTGTCCTACCAGCTGAAGATCATCGTGTGCAAAGAGGCAGAAGAAACACATGCATACTTCTCCCCTACTCTCTGATCTTGCCACTCTCTCTTGTCATCGCAAAGTTGTGCGTGAAAGCATAATGCCTCTCTGTCCTGTGTGAATTAATTCTGAACTTCTGCTGAAGGAGCGATGGTGTATGGCAGTATTTGAGCTACCGTCTTCACCCGAATAGAGCGCCCGGTAAGTATCGCCGTATCTGGGCTGAGAGTTGTGCCAAATACAGCTATAATGACCGGGCGTTATATTCAGGTGAAGACGGTAGTGAAATCCGCTGCCAAACCACCAGTCCGGGAGAGGGTCCTGTGAATTTTGCGGCCGTGCACAAGGATGCCTCAGTTCTTATGTGCCTGTCTGACTTCTGCCATTCTTATTCGCACTGGATGGGAAACATGTCCCTGGCTGAAAATTGCCACCCCCAAACCGGTTTTATAGTTTTGCTGTAATTAGAATTTAAGGGGTGCCATATGAGGACAAAGGATCACAAAAATCTCTTTTATTTCTCTCTATTCATCATACTCTATCTCTTTGTGACTGTTTTGGGTGGGGTAGCGTTGAAAAACAAACCCCACCAGGGGAAATGTCAAGTGGTTTGAGCCGTTCAGAAGTGTCGTGCATAACAGTAGATTAGGAGATAATGATGTGCCCTTATGCTGGTGCGTGCTTGAACAGCCACTATGTAGTATCTTTTTGTCCACTGGCCCACCGGGTGTATATACTTGTTTTTCGGCTTTGCTGTCTTTGCAGTGGATAGCTCATGGAATGGACCTGTATGTTGGTTGTCTCATTTGTCCGGTCGGCAGCTACCCCTTTTCTGCATTTTTTAGATTGATTCTCATTTGTCTGGTCGGCAGCTACCCCTTTTCTGCATTTTTTAGATTGATCTGCCAGGCCAGTACCAGCTCGTCTATTTCGTTATTTGTCATTTGCGTATGCACTCCATCATCTTTCCCCCCATTTGCACGAAGTGTACCTGTATTTTCCATTGGCACTCTTGTGGTCTCGGGGTTTTTGCCGCTGCATGCATCTTTTGTCCGCTGGGTCGATAGCGACTCCATCATCTTTCCCCCCATTTGCACGAAGTGTACCTGTATTTTCCCTTGGCACTCTTGTGGTCTCAGGGTTTTTGCCGCTACATGCATCTTTTGCCCGCTGGGTTGATAGCGACTCGATACCCCTGTTTCCAGTTTGTTGGGGGAATTCTTGTGAGTGCGAGTGAGTGGTCAAGCGATTGAAGTGGAATTTCTATCGTTGATCCTTTGGTTGGGTGGGCAGTACTGGGTACCTTTTTTGTACTTAGTTGAGTATTTGGTCTTCCAATACCTGGTATGCATGTTTTGTAGCTGAACTTGCCAGTTTGTAGTGTATGTATTTGTATTTTGGTTTCGCTTTGCGGTTGTAGTCATGCAGGACATGTAGAATTGTGTCACTTTTTTGTGTGGTTCTCTCCATTTTGTGTGGGTTTGCGGCTTCATTAAATCTCCCTTGTTTTCTTTTCTTCTCTTTTTTTTTTTTTTTTTTTT